AATACAATACTAAAATTATCATTTCTTCCTTTTCAATGCGTCCTGGTATACTTTCCTTGTAAAATTTATAAAGAAGATCCTTGACTTCTTGATGGTTGATACCTGCCTTGATTAATTGTTTAATAAAAGTTGTAAAGATCTGTCATTGGTACTGATGCATCACAATTCACAAAGGTATAAGGCTGTAAGCAGTTGCCAACCGGGCCTGTAGCGTTGGCCCCAAGCCTTAGGGCTTGGGTGAGGCGGGAGGTCAGGGTTTCGAACTCTGTCACCATCGTGAATTCCACCAACTTGCGACCTAATGGTCGCGCACCTCATCTGAGGGGTGGAATGTTCATTATTCTGGAAAGTTCCAGTTGCTAACATCTAACTCTACTAACTTCCTAACCATTACCCTTCTAAAAAAAAAAAAAAGCTGTAAGCAGTTGGGTCCATATGAAATATATTCTAAAGCAATTAAGGAATGGGGACAATATTGTGTCTGGTATATATACTTAAATTAATAAACAAGTTATGCTTGACTTGGTACTTTTGTTTTCTTTTATTCGATCTTCGTCTATATATATAGCCACTCCACACCTGAATTTTTAATTTTCACCTGCACCTTGAGAGAGCAATTAAAGTAAGTTTAGCTTAATTAAAGCTTTGTCTTTCACTAATTCTCCATTTAAACTGACGCAGTTTAATTAGTTTAATCTATTGTATTAACTACATTGTGTTCTTTAATAGTCTCTGCTTTCTACTAAATTAATTTTGCTATCTACTAAATTAATTTTCAAATTGCTAGAGGTATATGTATATATATATATGGATGTAGATGAATGCAAGCAATAGCCTAGATTATGATCATTAATTGATTTTTTTATAGAGAAAAGGAAAAATTAATATATTCTGACATTAAAAATGTTAAAATGTCTAACAATATCTACATGATATATTTGATAAAATTAAAATCCACACTATATACCTTACATATTTAATAATTATAATTACATGATATATTTGATAAAATTAAAACTCACATTATACTTCAGATATTTAATAATTATAATTAGACATTCTTAAATTTTTAATGTTAAGACATTGTGATTTTTCCTTGTGTCTCTTTTTTATATAGTTTCTTAATTTCCCTTTTTTCAATAACATATTTCATTTTGATAAATTAAGTTCTTCGTTTTCCCTTTTTTCAGAAAGAAAAAAAACCATTAAACTATAAACAGTATAGAAATTGCAGCCGATCGCTCTTTTATTATGCGTCATTCTCATGATATATTGTTTGATAGATCATCAACATTATGGCAATGACAAATACTAGTTCTGCAACTATGATTGTCCCTCAACTTCTAAAAAGGGGCAATTATAAGAGTTGGAGCATTTTCATGGAAGATTATTTGATTTCTCAAGAGCTTTGGGATGGTATTATTGTTCCATTCAGCGCTGATCAACCGCTGGCGCCTAGCGAATCTGAGCAGAGAAGAAGGAATGCTGCCGCTCTGAATGCCATTAAGATTTCATGCGGACCAGAAAGCTTTGTTTGTATAAAGTATACCCGTTCAGCAAAAGATGCTTTAGATATGTTAGCCGAAATGCATAAAACAGAACCTGAAACTGATGAAAGCACTCCAAAGGCAAGCAATCCTCCGCTTTGGGTGTCAAGTACGATTGTCCCTGAACTTCTAGAAAGAGGCAACTATGAGAGGTGGAGTATCTTCGTGAAAAACTACTTAGTTTCACAAGATCTTTGGGTGGTTACTCACCAGTTGTCAACGCCTCTTGGAGTTTCTAAAAAGGAGTGGAGAAAAAAGAATGCTGCCGCTCTGCATACAATTCAGATTTCATGTGGACCAGAAAAATTTAATCAGATAAAGAAGATGCATTGGGCAATAGAAGCTTGGGATAAGTTGAAAAGAACAAATATTGAAGAAGAGAAATCAAAAACCGATAATTCAGGTTTGCCACATCTCTCTCTATGACATCATGTGTTTTAGATTGCATTTGGTTTAAAAGAATTTGGTGAAAGATGTTGAATTTCATTTGCATGCAATTCTATACTCTTTTGCTTGGTATTATTATAATGTGAAAAATTCAACTTCCAACTTTTAAATCGTGGAATTAGTTAAGGTTGATTTAATTGATCTAATTAATCTCACTTCAGAACATGAAGAAGAAGATGAAGATGAAGATGAAGAAGAAGAAGAAGAAACTCCAAAGGTAAGATTAGCATTTTTTTTCCTTTTGTGCTCCTCCCTTCTTTGGGAATGTTTGGCTTTTAAATTGGCCGCTTGTCATTCTGATATTAATTTGTAAATATTTGTGGTTAGATTAATGCTGCAAGTATGATTGTTCCTGAACTTCTAGCAAGTCACAATTATAAGAGATGGAGCATCTGTATGAGAAGCTATTTAGTTTCTCAAGATCTTTGGGATGCTGTTCTATACAGTTGGGTGCCAGCTGGAGTTGATAAAAAGGAGTGGATTAAAAAGGATGCCGCCGTTTTGCATGCAATTCAGATTTCGTGTACACCAAAAAAATTTGATGAAATTGGGAAAATCACTTCTGCCAAAATTGCCTGGAATACCTTGAAGCAAAAACATATAGAAAAGCATCCAGAAGATGGTCCTCCCCTTGATTTTATTGATTTCCTCGAAAAGCAAGGTTTGTCACCTCTCATTCTCTCTCATCATTGGACTTTCATTTTTGCAGTGTGTTTGGGATTCTACTACAATGGTCTTTTCTGTTATAGTGTCCTTAAGGTGCCCTTAATGCTTTCTTTTTTTTTTTTTTACCAACAACATTTTGGTTTGAATAAAAGGAGTTTATTTTTTTTTAAGGAAAGTCTCCACTTTAATTTTTATAAACAAAAAGACAGATGCTAAAAAAGTTTTTTTTCTATGGAATTCAATACAGTTTAACTCTGAATTAATTAAAATAATATAGCTCTTGAATGCTGAAAGTTTAGTAAAAAAAATACATTTTTTTTTCTATTCTTTGTATTAAAAGTAAATTCAAGACCAAGTTTGGTTAATGTGGGAAACTTTTCTCCTTAATTTCTCCTTGGATTTTTTAGCGCTAATTCAGTATGTTTGGTTAAGGTAGAACATGTCTCTGTTTGTTCTCTTGACAGAGATAAGTCATTGTGCATACTCTTTATTTCTTAATTTTAATTATTTCTTTTATTTCTTTTGATTGAATTTAATTGTCTTAATTTAATTTTTACATATGGTTTGACTTGATAATTTTATATAGTAAACGAATGATAATTAAAATATTTTTTTATCTAAATGAAAATATTTAATAAGTATTATGTATAGAAAGAAAAAAAAAATTAATTGTTATTTATTTACTATATAAAATCACTTAGTCAAACTTTATGTAAAACTCAAAGTTAGACAACAAAATCCAACTGAGGGAGTATTTCAAAAATTGTTCTCAGAATTTTTAATCTAGAAAAAAAATCTAAAAAATGACAATTTCTTGAACTAGGGGATTATTATTAGTCAATTACTCCCTCAGACCAAATTCTTAATTTGAGGTGTTTAAATTTAATTGTTTATTTTGTTATTAATCATGGAATTAGTTAAGGCTGATTGAATTCTAATTAATCTCACTTCAGAACATGAAGAAGAAGAAGAAACTCCAAAGGCAAGATTATAATTTTTTTTTTTTCCTTTTGTGCTCCCCCCTTCTTTCGGGATATTTGGCTTTCAAACTGGCTGCTTGTCATTCTGATATTAATTTGTTGATATATGTGGTTAGATTAATTCTGCGAGGATGACTATCCCTGTCCCAGAACTTCTAGCAAGTGACAATTATAAGAGATGGAGCATCTATATGAAAAGCTATTTAGTTTCTTTAGATCTTTGGGATGCTGTTCTATACAGTTGGGTGCCAGCTGGAGTTGATACAAAGGAGTGGATTAAAAAGGATGGTGCCGCTCTGCATGCAATTCAGATTTCGTGTACACCAAAAAAATTTGATGAAATTAAGAAAATCACTTCCGCCAAAACTGCTTGGGATACCTTGAAGCAAAAACATATAGAAAAGCATCCAGAAGATAGTCCTCCCCCTGATTTTATTGATTCACTGAAAGAGCAAGGTTTGCCACCTCTCATTCTCTCTCATCACTGGGTTTTTTTGCAGTGTGTTTTGGATTCTATTAGAACGGTTTTTTCTGTTATAGTCCCCTTAATTAATGTGCACTTAATGCTTTTTTTTTTTTTTTAAAAAAATCTTCGTATTAAGTAACTTCAGAGCCCCTGTTTGGTTAAGGTGGGAAACTTTTCCAATTGCTTTCTGCTTAACTGGATTTTTAAGAGCTAATTTAGTATGTTTGATTAAGGTGGGAACTTGTCTTTGATTGTTCTCTTGACAAAGACAAATCATTGTACATTTTCTCTAATTTTTAACTTTAATTATCTTTTCTATTTCTTACTATTGTATTTAGTTGTCTCAATTTAATTTCTACATA